GGTAAGACCAAGACTAAGGCTAATCACCATGTCACTGAGTTAATGTGGGAGGTCTATTTATCTGTTTCCTCAGGGTGGATTAAGCTAAACCTCTTCCTCTGTTTTTGGCTGTGTTATGAGGGCATAGAAAGGGGTGAGGAAGAAAAAAATGCCTCTACCAAATCACTCTAGACCAGCTGAAGCTCCAAAGAAAGTGCATGGGTTCAAGCAAGATTACACTGTAAATGTTTTATGCCACACATAAAATAGGGAATTATTCAAGTGTCCCATACACTTCCAGATCTGTTAGAGTAATTTATAATCCATTTGTAATCATTCTATACACATTTCACCATTGTCACTTTTGCCTCTTCCCTTAAGAGTTATATATATATTGTCCCCAGAGAACATTAATTTTTTTCATCAGTGTCAGTTGGGCGGCTTATCTGAACTTCTGTGGCCTAAAAGAGCTTGGGAGCGCACCTGATCTTTAACGCTTCCTGGACAGACATGACACACAAGTAACTTCACAGTATTTTAGTGTTTCTGCCTCCAGATGAAACCAACAATGGCAAGGAGCACAGGCAGAGATGGGGGGCGGGGGGATGGCAATGGACAAGAGGAAAAAGCAAACTCGATCTTTCCCAAACTTCAGAAAAGATTGGCTTTGAACCTGGGACAAAAGCTTGGGTTAGTTCTTAGTTTCTCCAAACCAGTATGCTTATTTCCGCTAACTACTCCATAAAATTCTGATCTGGAACAAGTCTAACATACGCCTTTCCAAGTGCCTTAAACAATAAAAATTAATGTTCTCTGGGGACAATATATATAACTCTTAAGGGGGGAGGCAAAAGTGACAATGGCGAAATGTGTATAGAATGATTACAAATGGATTATAAATTACTCTAACAGATCTGGAAGTGTATGGGACACTTGAATGCTATAGAATCATGGAATACTCAAAGCCTATTGTATTGAGATATGACAGACTAGGGAATATTCAGACTATCGTGTTAATATATGTATCTTTATGGGCTTGCTAGTGATTGTATTCCTGGCTAAAAGGGTAAGGTAAAGAATGCTTCCTGCAGATAAGGTATATCCTCAATACTGAAATGAGGCAGGTAACAAGTCTCTTGAAGCTTCACCCTCGGGAGGCAGAGTACAGACTGGTCTAACCTGGTTCAAAGGACCTGACCTGCATAAAGTTATTCCAGACCTGCCTGCGTAACTGTCAGAGAACACACATGGCTCGCTTGTGGCTCCAGTTCGTAGAGTAGATGAACCCTAAATTTCCACTTTTCCCAAAGCCTGAAGGACAGATGCTCATTTCTCGCATATCCTTTGGATAGGGTTGAGGTGACAACTTAATTAGCAAATATCTTGGCAACTGAATAATCATAGTTTCTACTGCGGATTGATAAGTGAGATACTAGTGGTCAACCTGATTCCTCCAAAACTATCTGCAGGAAAGCAGAGGGAGGTGTCCAACAAATAAATCAGATTTTTAAAATTTGTTTCTAGCTTTTTACTTATTTTACAGTCTTATCCAGTTCAGCTATTTGTCTTGTGTTTCTCTAGCTTCCTAATTGTTAGTAGATTTTATGAGAGATTTTTCTCCAAAATAAATAAATCCGGTTTAAAATGGTCATATGTCTTGAAAAATATGTCCAGGGTCTCATTAGCATCCTTCTGTGAGAACACCACAAGCTCACATTCGAAATTGATAAGGAAATAGTCCCTGCTATGTTTGCAACCGTTACCACCCTCCGATACAGTGAATCTTCACAAGTTAAGAAACCTGAAATGCTTTAACCAAGCTATGCATGTCTGGCAGTTTGCACTCTGAAGTCAATGGGGCATGTGCTCCATAATCATTCTAGATGCTTTTTAAAAATCTTGCTCTTAGGCTTTTAAAACCAGTTTTAGACACTTAACTTTAGGATTCTTATTTTGTAAATTTGCCCTGTGAATATGAAAAATTCACAATACATTTGCTAACCCACTGAAAATATCCACAACTTTTCATTATTGATACTGAGGCAATTTTGTATGCAAGTGACAAATGTTATGCCACTAAAGTTTTTAATAGAAATTCAGTTTTAGCCACTGATGGAGCAAACATTTATGCCCATGCCTAACTTGAAGCACATGAGTAGTCCCATTGAAGTGAATGGGTTTAGTTGTGAGAGTAATAGGGTGACCGGATGTCCTGATTTTATAGGGACAGTCCTGATATTTGGGGCTTTGTCTTATGTAGGTGCCTATTATCCCCCACCCCCTGTCCTGATTTTTCACACTTGCTGTCTGGTCACCCTACTGAGTAAAGTCACCTACTTGATTAGGTGTTTGTGGGATCGGGGCCCTAACGGTTAATGTTTTGTGTTGCTTATAGCAATTTTGTGACATTCAGATTCCCTACCAGTTGTGGCATTTTAAAAAACAGCATTTTATGATGGAGTTCATGATACGGTTTAATCTGAAGTTGCAATTGCCTACATTTTCGATTTAGTTTTACGTAATCGCAACCTGATTTAAATCAATTATTTAAAAAGACAATCAAATGGTTGAAATCATTATTTCAGTCACCCTCATTTATATCCCTTCAGCCTACTGTCATGGAGTTGCCTCAGACATCAGTAGGGTAATAGTGGCTGTCAGCCAGTGCTGCACTAGTGAAATATATATGTATAGGGTAATAGTACAGAGAAGAATGAGCTAAAGGGAAAAGCAGCTGGGCCCATGGAAGCCGCCTGGATTAGCTAGCAAAGCTCTCGGGGTGGGTTCAATATAAAAACACGTGTCCCTCCCCCCCTCAAGCCCCCATCCATTACAAGAGAAGTTGTAAAAAGAACAGGAGTACTTGTGGCACCTTAGAGACTAACAAATTTATTAGAGCATAAGCTTTCGTGGGCTACAACCCACTTCTTCGGATGCATAAGAGAAGTTGTAGAGAGGGAAGGGATGAGTTGAGTAATAGTTGGTTATTTGACAAAGATTGGGGGGCAAACTCCCTGCTTTTCATGGAAATCTTGGCTGTCTTAATTCTAACTGGGACTTGGGGTTCTCTTTGTGACCATAACTTTCACTTATAGCACCTTTTATCCAAGAATCTCACTGAATTTAGCCTCATAATACCACTGGAGTTAAGGGTTATTGTCCTAGTTTTGCAGATGATAAAACTGAGGCACAGAAGTTAAATGGCTTTGGTCACGCAGCAGGTCAGCATAACCTGGATCTCCAGTCTCCCAGTCCTATGTATTCTCAACAATTAAGCCATAAAGGCTACAAAATAGCCAAGGAGCTGGGTTTTTATATTTTCATTATTTTTTTTAACTCTAGGAAAGAAAATTAAATATACAAAACATAGCTTCTGGTTAGCTTTTTGTTAGTGGCATGTTTAAAACAAACAAAGCCAAACTGGTTGACGTAGTAAAAGACACAGTTGGGGTCAATCAAATTAAGTAGTAGTAAGGATGGTGTCTGGAAAGCCACCTCTGGCACATAGGCACAGCATGGGGCAAAGAAAGTGAACTATATAAAGTCGTTTGTGCTCTTGTATAAACTGATCTAAACCTTTAATCTTCCACTCTGGTTTTCTTTCTACTCTACAGAGGAAAAAACTTTGGCAATGTTTTCAAGATTCATTTGCCTACCCCTTATTTTTAAATATAAGCAACTGAAGACAGAACCAGGAAAAGAGAAGCTAGAAAACTAATTTACATAATCACACAGGTTGACATTTGTGGTTAACCATACAAAAGGAAATACAAGGAAACCAATTCACCTCTATCTTTGGAGTGTGTATGTGAAAGATTAGTAAAACATAGAATGAAAAGGAAGGGAAACAGCAGAAAGAGAAGCAGGAACAAAAGAAATGTTGATTCATAGTAAGCCAACTGCCTGCTTTTTAACCAAAGCACAAACGCTATGTTCAAACAACATTAAGGTTTGTAATATTCCTTAAGAGATTTTATCTTTAAGGCTGCTGTTGTGTGCTAATGTACCAGGAAATCATGTCTACAGATAAAGTAGTTCTTCCAAACGTTCACCACAAAGCAGAAAAAGTTATGCTGCAATTTTTTTTGAGCCCCCCCCAAAAAAGTGTGGGGCTCTTTCCCCAAGACCGGTGGGGATGAAATGTGATGCTTATGTACAACTTCCAGATCAATCACTTTATCACAGAAACAGAGGACTGTACCAGCACTCCACATCTGAATACTCCTGAACTGCAGTTTCCATTATATACATTTATGGGTCCAAACAGCATCATTTAAATCCATAGATTTCTACAGTTAACATTTTCTGTGGAAAATCCTTACTCTAGATAGCATGTCCTGGTACTGAGTACTAACTACCTGCAGACCGGATTTGAGAATAAGCAGGTCCTGAATATTACTCTCTCAAGCCACATAGTGAGAATAATACGGTTCCCACAGAAGAGAACCTTCACTAGGAAAATGACTGCGCCTGGATAACCAGGTTAAATCTTATTTTCCCCCTCTATAGTAGAAGTCTCCTTATTTTATAGCATAAACTACAAAAGCACCATTACTTTAGAATGCAACCTCAACGGTAGAATGGAGGAAGCAAATTAAACAGACATTCCAAGTGATTAGCAAATTCCTTCGTTTCCTTCAAATGAAAAGGCTTTTATTAGAAATCCATCCTGAGCAATCACGCCAAGGACAGGGCGATCACTTACTGGAGGTTTTCTGTTCAAGGTGGAGCAGAATCTGACTCAGTATTTAAAACAGGAGGCTGTATAGAATCTCTTGGAGAGCTTTCACTGTAATTCAGACAGCATATATTAAGAGATTTTTACCATAGGAAAAATACTGTCGATAGTCTCAAATCGGTCAATTCAGTGACAAGAACTCTATGCAGAGCAAAATCCCCCGCTTGCTTAGAGTCCGAGTTAAAACCAAGTGCTGTGTAAATGTTGCATAGCATTTTTTGCGAAGTTCTTTACAAGTCGCTCTCTAGATTTGTGTTTTCCCCTTGCCCGGCCGGACGTGCTCTCAGAGATCTTTCCCGTACACTGACTTGTAACGTAGATATTCTTCCAGACACTGGATTGCGTTTTCATCTACATTTGGGTCAAACTTGTTGGCTAGCAGATGATGGTTTTGGAGCATCCAGTGAAGATCACCTACCCCATACACACAGACGGCCCGTTGGTGGGCACCCGTACATGGAGGGTAGGGTGCCCCTTTGCTGACATCGCCCTCCAGGTAGGACCACTTCACCAATCTAGCAACAGCATTGACATCAGAGACCTCATACTTATCGTTATAAGGCACCGATCCTGGCATGCCTGGCATCCGGTGGAGGGTGGCCCAGATATATTCATCTGGGCTGTAAGTATCTTTTGACCACTCCAGCAGCTGCTGCGCCGTCGGGTTTTCAAAGAGGGCTTGAACAAATTCCCTTGTGACCACAACATAGGCATTGCCCGTGAACATGGGTGAGCCATGGGGCGGGAGGCTCTTCTCCGTGGAGGTTCGGATCACCGAGTTCTCCACGTGGTGGTGGTACTTCCAGCGAGCCGCCTTGATCGACGAGGGTTTCTCAGATTCCATATTGTTTCTCCCATTTAGAAACTTCAGGGTTCGGACAATCTCGGCGTTGGTTTTGATGGGGAAATCGGTGCCGCAAGTGTTTAAGAGATACCTCCAGGGCACGTTGCTCTTGAGTAGCTCCTCCATGCAGTTCAGGTCCGCTTGGACCCGGGACCAGGATGCGTACACTACTCTCTCCAGTTTAGTGGCCACAAAGACATTTTCGAAGCAGGAGGCGATCCCTTGGACTGCCTCCTTGAATTCGTCTGGGGATTTCAGATCTACGTGGACACAGTATATATTCTGGGGCACGTAGATGGACCTTAACAATCTTTCGAACATCTCAATCTTCTCATGCACTACCATGGAATATGCAATAGGAAAATCTTCCTCCTCTTTGCTCAGTGGGAACTCAACAAACCTTCTGCGCGCTTTAAAGTGAGTGCAGTCCTTAGTCAAGTTCACGTAATCTTTTGGGGCTAAAGGCTCCGACTTGGTTTTCATCTCTAGCCTGCTCAAAAGAGCCTCCTCTACTGCTTCCACATCCCCTCTGATGATCCGAGAGCAGTTGATCTGGCCGCTCGGAGACAACTTCAGAGACTGGTAGAGATGATCCTTGCAACTCTCGCTCTTCAGATGCACCGTCTCTTTCCCAAGATCACTGAAGTTGCATTCCCAGGAGGAGTATTTCAGCACCACCGTGGCAAACAGCATCAGAAATCCCATGAACAACAGGCGCTGAATCTGACACAGACACTTTCTCTCCCGAAACATCTTGGGAGCGGGGGCAAAAGTTTCTTCCCAGTGATAAATCCACTTCCTAAATCAAGTTCCTCTTAATCAGCAGGATTTGGGGTTACAACATCTGCCTCCCGGCTGGTAACGAACAATTCGATCTGCGTGAGTGAATTAATCCTGGGTAGCAAGTGCATTAAGAGCAGCGGTTCCACACCCTTGTCTTCCTTTCGTGTAGTTACCTGAGCTCTGTTCAGCCAAGGCGGGGCAGAGGTTTAGTCACCAGCTTGATTGTTTTCCCCTCCCACCCTGAAGTGTGGAAATACTTAGCACTGAAGCCAAGGTGAAATAAAAATCGGAAGTTTCTACCTTCCCACTCCCCTTTACTTGGCGTTATTTTTATTAGGTACTGGAATGTCTGGTAAATCCAGTAGTTGGACTGGTTGCGTTGTTGTCTGTCTCCTGCGGAAAAAAAATCAGAGGAATACACAACCTTTACCTTTAATTGTTAGCTCCCTGAGGAGGTGCGACCCGCACCCCCATGATCCACAAGATGCCCACTTCCTACAAAGGTCAAAGTAATACAGCCTACAAACCCCTAGCCTACAGTAAGCGCTGCAAATACACAGTAAGGAACAGCCCTGCATTGACAAGGTGAGGGATCAGAGGATCGAAGGGGTCTTCATCTCTGTCTGACTTCCTAGAAATAAATTCTAGGAGATATCCCATCTCCTAGAACTGGAAGGGACCTTGAAAGGTCATCGAGTCCAGCCCCCTGCCTTCACTAGGCAGGACCAAATACTGATTTTGCCCCAGATCCCTAAGTGGCCCCCTCAAGGATTGAACTCACAACCCTGAGTTTAGCAGGCCAATGCTCAAACCACTGAGCTATCCCTCAGAAAGGGAAGTAAATCCCCAGACAAGCATATCCTCCACGCATTCAGTTTCTAGCTAAGTGTATGGCTACCTAGGCTGTTAGCGTCATTAAAATAACGCAAGAAATAATCCTTCAAAAAGTAACTCTGCCCTGTGGAGCTGACAGTAGCAGCGAAGTGAGGTTGATTTAAAACCCTTTGATCGGCATGAGCCCTACGTCAGACGACAATCTTGGCACCCTTCCAACATGGCTAAGCATGAATGTGGCTTTCCTAACTTCTCTCTCCTCTACTCACCTGTATCCAGGGGTGAAAGTAACTTAAAGGATTTACCAGTAGGCCGGAGTCCTGAGCGGGGCGTGGCCTCAACTAGAAGAGGCATGGGATTTAAAGGGCGGGGCAGGAGCACAGGGCCATTTAAATCCCCGCCAGAGCCCGCTGCCAGAGCTCCAGCGGCACTTTAAAGGGCTGGAGCCCTGGGCCCTTTAAATCACTGCTGCGGAAGCTGGTCCAGTCTGGCACGGCGTACTGGCTCTTGCTGGTATGCTGTACCGGACCATACCGGCTTACTTTCACCTATGCCTGTAGCTGGATCAAGAGTGAGGCAGCAAATACAGATTCCCCTCTTGCTTCTCCCACTGTCTCCCTCCCTCCCGCTCCCTCCCTGTTTGCCTACCCAACTTGTTTGCCTACATTTCACTGCTACCTTCAGTAGGACTCCTGACTCTTAAAACGGGGGCAAAGGGTGCGGGCGCACTTCACTTCCCGGGCATCTTCTCTTCCCATGTCCCCCTCTCCTGGCTTGGTTTGAGTGATGAGTCCATCTGTGACTGCCAAGTTGCCCTCACTTACAAATAGAATTTGCACCCTGTGAGCCAGATCCTGGTCCCACTGAAGCCAATGACCAGAGCTCCCACTGACTTTAATGGGACCAGGATTTGGCCCGCAGGGTGTCAATTGCATTGCACCTATTTAAATAAAAGACAAGTGACTCCATGACTCACTGCAAATAGCAGTTTATTTCAGTATCTCCTAGCTCTCAGCTTTGCTGCTGCAGAAAAACCAGCTTCTCCTTGGGGAAGGCAGGAGCTCCTTTGTTTCTTTAGTGTCTTTCAGAACTCTGCTGTTTGTCTTCAATTGGATCTTTAATTCTGATGGATAAAATAAAGCCAACTCACCTTTGGGGAGGTGGAGATTTGGAATCAATGTGTGCACAAAGCCTTAACTTAGAGCAGAACTTGCCCCCATATCTGAAAAGCAGTGCCAGTTTCCATAGTACTTTCAGGGCTGGTTTAACATCTAAATTTGAATGTAGATGGGACAGGAAGGAACTGGACCCTTTAAACAGTAAAGTTACTTGGAAAAGGTAAGTGAACAGTTTGCATTTCTCGTTCCACTTATCAATGACAAATCTTAAAGGGATAGAATGTAGATGAGCTATTTCCTAGCATATTCTTGGTTGTATTTTAATGTTTTTTGTCCCCAAACCTGCAAAAGGAACCAGGCAAGCAGAACTTCGCACCTCACTTCACTTAGTTCAGTATGGGCACGGTAGGGTTTGCCTGCCCAGTTCTTTTTGCAGGAGCTGAGCCTTAGTTACTATCTTTTTCTAACATTTCAAAATATTAAAATCCGCTGATTCTGATGTCAGCTTATTCGGAGTGATAAATAAGTGGCCATATTTCTTTCTGACACTAGGCCTAGAAATTCAGCCTGGCACTGCAGGAAGCACTGGTGTGCTGCAAATATCTTCTCCACGGGATCCTCCCAAACTACCCCCCAATTCAATTGATAATTACCTGGAGTGAACGTTCCTGGAGAGAAGACAGACAGGGACTGGGAAATATTTTTCTCACTGGAGGAAAATCCTTTCCCATGCCGAGGAAGGAGATACTAGGCAAATAGACTTGTACAAGGAATACTTGTTCAGAAATACTTATAACTTGTTTCTGATAAATACTTAGACTGCAGGAGAGCATTCAGCTTTTGTATTTCAAGGGAGGATGAAGAAATATAGGCCTAGCATTCTCCTACTCGGAGACACTCTTTTGAAAAATATCTGTTGCTGGGCACAACCTGGTATATTCCAAGACAGGCAATTTTCTCTCTTTAGGAGAGTTTTATGCTCGCTGGAGGTAAGTTGTTTCTGGTGGAGATGGTTTAGTTGTAATTGGAGAGAATATGAGCTCCATTAGAGACTACCACTCTGCTTTCAGTTTGGTAGCATCTAATTTATGCTAATAGCTCCCGGGAGCTCCCTGTAGTGCTGCTGTTCTGGAGTATTCTATGGAGGTGCTAGAAGTCTTCTAAATGCCATCTCTCTTCTTCCACACCTTGATCCTCTAACTTAAATTACAGCATCCAAAGGCTTGAATATGCATTCTCTTCCATACAGACTTCCCTTGTGAATTAGGAAAATAAGATTGCAATTGCACAAGTTTAGTCCTTTCTAGTTCAGGTTGCAAACTGCATTGTAGGTGTGGAAAATCATAAAGCACTCTTGCAGTTAACAGCAATAATGTATATAAATAATGGCCCTGCAATAGCTCCTGCATGCATAAAATGCAGAAGAAATTGTAGGTCTGTACACTAACTTTTCAAAGTGCAAAGCTTTCCAGATTTGTCTTCTATTTCATACATTCCTGCCTAATTTTCTAAGAACTACAGCATTATAATAATATTTCAAACGCCAGGGATATAAATGCCCCCAAACAGCCAACTACTCCCTAAGGAGGGTTTGATCACTAATCTGGAGCAGGTGGGAGCAGAATTGGATCCATTTTGAAAACGTTTATACCCTAGGGTGTCCAGACAGCAAATGTGAAAAATCGGGACGAGGGGGGGGGGGGGGGGGGGTAATAGGAGCCTGTATCGGGCTCTGTCCCTATAAAATCGGGACATCTGCTCACCCTATTATACCCCCATCATCAACCCAGGCAAGAAAGGCTACAGCCCGATGGCTTTCGTTTACATAGTGATTCTGGCATGTAGACTTCCTGTATGAGATGCCTGACACCAGTTCCCAGCTGCTTGTGTACACTTCATACAGGAATTCAGGTGGGGGAGGGGAGGGGAGTAGAAACAATTTCCTTCCTGGTCACAGGTTCATTCGTTCTTGTTGTGGGGCAGGGCAGGGGCAGGTTTCCTGGCTGGCTCAGCCAGCCGGGGGATCAGGCTGGCTGGGACCCCTTCTGACTCTGGGCCTGGCACCAGTGGCACCATGGTAAACCTGGTACTGATTCTAGATGATGTTTTTGTGTATTTCAGCCCCATTACTAGCTATCTCATTACCAATGCCTTCAGCAGACTGCACATCTGTCTTAATTCTTATATTCCTTCTTCCATATTAAGAAGCTAAACACTTCAGTCTACCAAAGTAGATAGAGGGCCTGATTCTTCACTTCCTTAGGAGTTGTGTAGCCATTTTGACCTATGGAAAATAACATAATTTTTTTGTGAAGTTACCCTTTGAAAAAGTATTAACACTTGTCATTGTCATCCTTTCTATAGAAAAATCTCTGGAGGATCTATCATCCAGATCCTAGAAAGAATCGGGAGCAACATGCAAATTTTCTATTTTTCCTTGTCCTCCATGATTCATCTTTTGAAAAAACCTGCCTGAATCCCTTAGCAGCTGGTACTAATCATATTAGTAATGACCCTTCTTAATTTAAATTTGCTTATCGTTGCTATGCCAGCTGCCAATTTATTTTTCTAGATGGTTTAAGCCATGTTCGGCTAGAAACAGTTCAACTCTGTATTTTGGCATGTCTTGAGGGAGATGTTTAGAATGATCAAAAATGTTTCCCGTTATTGTCAGTAATCAGAAAAGAAATTTTGATTACTGCATTTTTGTTAATGAAGAAAATAACCTTAATTTCTTGCTGAAATAAGCAGGTATACCTAATTTACTCACTGTCTCTTAAAGCCAACGTTTTATTTTACCTTTCAACAGTACCCCACACTGACACACATGTCAAATCACAGCTAATTATTGCTTCTGTGTTCCATTGACTTCAGACTGGTAGGTGAGTAAAGGCCAATGAACACTATGAAAGCACACGGACAGCAGGCACAATGTGTTGCTTATCAGTGCCATTTGACACTGTGCCAGATGTCAAACAGACTAAGGATCAGCTAGATGTTGAACTGGATGTGCTTGCT